CCATAACCCTCACCCCACAAGTCCTTTTCAGCATTTCTATCATGTGCCAATGTAAAAGTGTGATTTAGCTATCAGGACACAAATCAACTGATAAGCTCTAATGGAGATACTGTGGTCTAGACTTCTTTCCAAATGTAGCTTTCATTCCAAATACACTTTTATATATAAAGTAATATTTCCATGTACTTCCTTCTAATGACATTCAGAGTGTTTTAAACATTAAATTATATCATGACTCATCTAGGTGAATTATTGTTCTCCTAAAATGGCTAAGGGGCTGGTGAGTTTATTCTGCTAAATCATAAACCATAGTCATTGCTTAAACCAAATTAAACAAATACAACTTGCAACCCTCTGAACAGTGACTTATGCAGTGAGGCCATGGTACACATGAATATTTGATAATAAGCTTATGAAACTGTTAATGGGTTCTAAATTGGCTTCTTCTCTTTTTTATATTGGTAAAGGGATTCCCAGCCACTCTTAAACAACAGTTTTCTGCAGTGTTTTCAAAGCCATTCTCTGCTGTTGCCATGCACACAGGGGTGAAGCTTTATTGTGGGTCCCTTCTTTTATTGTTGAGTAAGTACCACAACACCTATAAACCTGGTCCACACAATATTTCAGTGCAGTGTGGCTTAAGGTGCAGTCATATAATGCCCATGAACACCATGTATGCAATGTTTGCACTGGCTTTCCCACCTTCCTGTCATGAGCCATTTCAGGCTCAACATGGCTTTTTTCCCTTTTAAACTTTTTTAAGAGATTGGGAAAACCAACAGAAAGTGAAGAGGTTAGAAATGACTCATTTCTCCCTGCCCACCTGGAATACCCATGGGAACACTGAAGGTGGAATGGGGGGGGGGGCACAAGCCAAGGTAAGACTGACAGGTGAGTCTGTCAGGCTATGGGTTGTTCATATGATAACCCACCCACTGTGGTTTGCTGCCCACAAAATGTCATAATGGAAGATAAATATGGACAATAAGTTTTATGTTTTAAAGTCTGACTAATCTGTGTTCTATTTAATGTTCTCAACACAATGACTGTTTTCATTATTTGTTTCATGAGACTCAAATATTTATGTGAAAACTGGTGACTTGCTATAACCTGCCTAGACTGTTTTTGATGCTGTTGTTGGTTAGGTACCATCCAAATGTAATAAAGATGAAGAACAAATATACTATTTTACAGAAAAGATCACCAGTTTAAGTATGACCTATCCTTAATCAATAGGGGGATATCTACAGGGAAGCTCACTATTTAGCATTGCTAGCATGTCCAATGTGAAGCTCTCCCTTCCTGCAGTTGCTTTCCTTTAAAAGCATGTCTAGCTAGATAAGGCATAGCCAATAAAAGATACACCTCTTGAAATTCTGTTGACCTCTTGATAAGAAAACCTAATTGACAATTGTTCTTTCTGATTCCTCAGGTTAAAAAGAATCCCTGAGATATGTCCATAGAGCCTGTCTTTTTAGTGAATTCCCCAAGGCTAAGTCACTGAAAATGAGTTACCTCATGGAGGTGATATACTCAGTATCTGCCTGTCTCCTGTTAAATTGCTGAGCTGAATAAGAATAGTGTCAGCACCACCAGGAGCTCACCTGCCCTCCTGACAGAAGGCAAAATACTGCAATAGCAGATGCTGTGGAGCAGAGGAAAATGCCCTGAGCCAATTGCTGATGAAATACACAGATTCTTCTTCTTATCTTGACACAAATTAAGCATCAGCTCTCTTGATAATTTTTAATATGTTGGAGTAAAAATAAAGGCAACTTTCCAGCAGATCAGGCTATGCTGAATCGGTCTTGCAATTACTTTAGTAATTGTATAGATAACCACTCACCATGTCCTGTAAAATAAAGTAAATGGGACCAGGATAATCTGGGTATTTCAGGGGAGCCACAGAATCAGTTTAGCACAACCAAGTGCATTGAGAACAACAACCTTCCATGTAAAATGGCTCTAATTTTATCCTTCTATAAGGCTAAATTAGGGCATAAAATTAAATTAGCAGCAGCCGCAGGCTCCATAAAAGCTGGGATGAAGATTCCATGAAGTGACATATTGCAGAAATGCCACTTACCAGTATAAGCACCAGCTTCTCAGATCTGAGTGTGGGTTTTTATATCACCATTCCACCTTCCAGGGCCTTCATCAGAGGCCCTGTCCCTGGGAAGAGACAGCAGATTCCAAGTATCCAACAGCCCAGGACGTAAGATGATACCCCATCCAAGGGACCACGCTGGTCCCAGTTGTTAGGCAGTACACATGGGAGGGAACCACCCCCGCTCTCCTGAAACATGGTACCTTCAAAGAGCTGTTGCTGAAATAGTAGGCCACCTAAGGCCTAGGGAACAGACACTGGGGCATTTTCCACCCAAGCCTTACAAGTCACCTTCTTTTGCAAGTATACTGTTATACATTGTGATACTTTATCAGTTACCTTGGAGTCCTCCTGTCAGGCAAAAAGGCGATCTATGCATACCTTAAAATAAATAATACACGATCACCCATATCCCAAGCACCGCATGAAAGACATGGAAAAATGCTGGCTATGCCATACTTGTACTCCACCAGGTTTTTTGCAGGACTACACAATACAAAGAACTCACATATTTATTCCCTGGTAAGCCTGTGAACTGAAACCCTCAAAATTCAGCATGACTTTCAAGAACCATTCAAGGAAACTGTCTTGTCTGCTATGAAATACTAAAACCCAAATTCAAATCCATAAATAGCCAACACTGCACCAGCTAAAAAAATTATGCACGTTAAGAAAATGTGCATATATATGCACCATTTAATTCATATCTTACAGCAAGGAGTAAGGCCCTACCTCCCCTTTGTATGCTAAGGCTTCCAGGTTCAACCCTTGCCATCTCCAGATACAGCTGACAAAGGTAACAGCCCGAAATGCTAAATGCTAAACAGACTCTGTTCAGTGTCTGTTTAGATGATCCTGAGCTAGATGGGGCAGTACTCTGAGCCTCTTTCTATCATCTTAGTTCACCCAAGTATTTTCAATCATATTTTAATAGGCCAAGAAATGAGAAAATGCCTTGTAGCAGACACATTAAAACATTGCTTGAACGTATCTCTTGTTGAAATCTGTGGGACTGAATCCTAAGTAAATATGCATAGGATTTTATTGTTGAAAGTATGCTGAAATCATTTGAATATAAAATTATAGGATACAAAATTATACATGCTCTATGTGACTCAGATTAACAGACAGCAGTATCCAGCTACACCAATTCTGCAGTCTAAACAACACCAAATGCTTGTACAATAAGCATTTATTTAGCTACCATAAACAAGTGGATATGCTTGTTTCTGGAACAGCAGAGTTTGCTTCTGGGAGCTCTACCAACCTGTTCTAATCCAGAAAAAAGCCTTTTCACTCATTTCAGAACTTTCTAAAGGAAGTACTAAAAAGCTATTCCACAGACAGTGGGCACTGCATGTACAATGGGACTGGTTGTGTCTGACACTTTTGGAATGAATTTATTGGTAGTCTCCATGTGCAGAGCATACTGCTTGGATACTGCCTAGAATATATTCAGATCTTAATAGCCTGTAATATTAATTGTGTATAGAACTTAGTATAGTTTAGAAAAAGGTAAAGGGAAGCATAATAATTTACCATAACTTGAGAATTTAGTTTTGCTGGTTCCATCCATAGATGAAATGCTTCTCACAGCTAAGATAGCTAGCTTTCAAGTATAAAAACTAATCTAGAGAACTAGGGGAGTAATTTTTTTCACCAACAGGACGATTGGCTAGTTGGGCAATGATTTTTCCAATGGACATGGAGAGGTAAGGATGGCCTACCAGTTAGGTGGTTTGGCATGGTACATTCAACAGCACATGAGAAGTGTGAATGTAGTCAGTTTTGGTGATAATTTTATACTATGTTGCTAGAGCCTAAGAAGGAGAACAGCTTCAAGCATCAGATGAGCTAATCTTCATTTACCATATACAGTGCTGAACGAAAAGGTATATAAACGATATGAATTGTATATTTATATACACATCTTATGCTAGCCAAGCCAATTAACTGCATATTATCTTTGCCAGGGATGAGAATAGTGACGCTGATAGTCTATCTTGTGATAGACTATGAACAGTCACCATGTTAAAAGTGCAAACAACAGCGGAGTAGATCACAGTTTTGCTTTAACAGCTGTCAGTTACAATCACTTACATAAAAACTGAAACTTCCATTATAGCAAGGGTGGGCAGACTTTGGGCTCTCAGGATCTACTCTGCTTTTCACCGGCACCCGAGTCAGTCACAAAATAGTGGATCAGGAAGATAAACTGAAAACCCTCCTCTGTTGTAAGTTCATGCTGAAGCTAGGAATTTGTTTTCAGTACTAGAACTGATGATCTCACACAGATCCTTTCACATACATATCTACAGGTATTTTATGATTTCGAGGTCTAATGTAGAGGGAGGAAAGGGATTCTCATTGTTGCTAGCATTAAACCATTAGAAACCCTTGCTAATCTACACCTAATTATTCCAACAGCTACCGCATCTATGTTCTGCTCAGCTATGCTCTGTAGTATATATAGCACCATGGTTAATCCAGTTTTGTTCCCTTGCTTAATGGCAGAAAAAGAATGCAATTTCCATAACATCTGTTATTACAAACTTTCCAGTTCCCATTCTCCATCTGCAACATTATTTCCTGAACTGACAGATCTAAAAGGTAAAAATTTAGAGTGGTTTAAAACAACATCAGTATTGGTTAATGTGCTGGCCATTGTATGTCAAAATTGCACCAACACAACTGTTCGCTAGCAGCAATCAATCTACATTTGCAATGAGCTACTTTTCATTTTTACTGGAACCATGTCTGATGACATTTCTCTGTAGTTCATTTTCTCAAAGTGACAGAACATAGTTCAAAACATGATGTGTAATTGTTTTTCCAGTGGGGCTGGTGTGTGATTTTTTAAAAACTTATCTAAGGAATTTTGCAGCAATTATACCTTCTGTTGACCAGCCTTCGTAATTGTGGGGATGTCAAACAGCTGTCCTGTGTAGTACTGCACACCACTGAACAAAATTGTGGCAATAGAGTCCCCTTCTTTCTCGATTACAGCAAGGATATCTTCAGTTCTCAAGGTCTCCTCTCCCTGAAATAAAGTAAAGCACAGATTTTAGATCAGCCCTGGAAGCAGCAAAACTGCCATTTCTTGTTTCATAATCTATTTTTTAATGATGTGCCTCACTGACTACAGAAAGCAATCAAAAGCAAGCTCAGTAATCTACAAACATAAGTGGCCTGGGGTAACCTTTCAATGGGCAAATAATCATTAGTAACATAGCTTCAAGATGGTAAAATCTTTCTTAAAGGCTGTTCACTTTGCTTCCTTACATGCTTTGCTTGCCTGAACACTTCAAGATTGCCTTAATTGGTTGGATTAAACAAAATTAAACTCCAGTGCAAAGAGCAGCATACACTGAGGTGGACAAGCTATGAACCTTCACGCAACTTGTTACTGACGATGCATTACCCATAGAACATTCAGTTTATCTGTCTAAAAACAATGGCTAATAGAAAATACAGTATTACCAGAGGAACAAATTGCAGTTGTCCATACACATTGGATTCTTGTTGAACTAGTGGATGACAGACAAAGTTAAATGGTGAATGAATGAATACTACACTTTATTTATTTATTTATTTATTTACTTACTTACTCATGTATTTTTACATGGGCAACCTGTTTCCAAGATGGGCCAATGACCCACTATCTAGATGTATAAAGTTTGTCTATCCATTCCATCTATGTTTCAAGGATTGTCAGGAATCTCTCATTCTGATGTCTACTGACAGAATTGGATGATTTTTGACCAACATTTTGTTCTACCTGTGCTAATGTGCCAGAATCTACAAATCTGGAGAATCTGTGTGACTTGAAAAAAGCTGGTCCACTGTGGAATCCACAGATCAGACACATGGAAATCCAAACTAATTTGAATGCTTGGGCAATTTCTCTAAAATGGTTACTTTTAGCTTGGCTGGTTTTAAAAATTCATGGAGTAGATAGTCTGTCAATCCCTATTAGTCATGATGTCTAACATGAGCCAACATGAACTTCTTTGGGGCAGTAACGGCAGGGCAGAGCTACTGCCTTTAAACTCTGCATGCAAGTTCACTGGAGGCCACTGTGGTTGACTTGTGTGAAATAGGATGCTGCAATAGATGGACTCTTGATGGATCCTGCAGAGTTCTTCTGTACACCTGTGTATGTACTCTCAAAACCTTTCAGTATGTCAGTATGTCATTAAAAAAAATTGACAGCTGGTGCAATGTAGTGACTAAAAGAGTGAAATTTAAATTAGGAAATCCACAGTTCAAGCAAGCTATTCATTATGCCTTAGCCCATGATCAGTAAACTGTAACATGAATAACTAACTTATCTTATAGGGATGTTGTAAGGATTTCAGAGAATTACTTTGAAGTATTCTGAATTTCTGATATATTATAAAAAATACCAACACAACAACAATAAATCATGATGTCAAACTGGGAATTTGCAGAAAAGTACTATTGTTAAGCTACTGGGGAAAGCAAATGCTGCAACAGATACTACCTTAAGGAAGAAGTTGTGTCAATCACTCTGTATCTTCTGTCTCTAAGCCATATCAAGATGTTAGCATGCAGCTCTCAGAATTAGAAAGCTTTACCAATCATGGCATGCACACAGTAATATAAAAATGCCATGCTGGGTCAGCCTCAGCAATACTTTCATACAACATTTTAAATTTGTGCCATCCTGCTCCTGGAAAGTCTTAAAAACTGTCTTCCATATCCCCCTTCACTTCTTACACAAACTGCATATTCCACAGAAGGCTATTATTTTTTACTGTATTTTGTATTTCAGAAACAATAGGATTAATATGATCCAAAAATGAACAACCCCTGAAGCCATTGAATATAGAGACATTTCAACAAGAAAAAATGTACTTTTGAAGCTTTAAAGACAGTACTTCCTTCCCTCATTTCCTCTTATCAAGGATCATGTAAAACATACCACCACCCAGGGATCAATTAAACAGTGAAGACTCCAAATGAAATTAGACACAGCACTGCAAAGAGCGAGGAAAAGATTTGCTGATTTGAAAGTAACTTCTATTATTGTAATGAACTTTGAACATCTATCAAGGGCATCTAGTTTCTCACTTTTCTAGAAAATACTTTTTAGCAGAATCAAAAGGTCAATAACAGTTCTGCTGAAAACTAACAGAAGTTCTTCATGCTAAGGAAAAAAAGTAATGCAATCATTTATAATGATCTAAATTGCAAACTCCTTGAAAAAGTCAGTTGTTGCTGTGGTAATAAAAGGAAAAAGTATGTTTCCTTTAGAAGACCTCTTTGGGAGATAGTATCTATACAGAGTGACACTTATGAATACATACTCAAGGAAGTGCAGTATAAGAAATATGGAATGTAATAATTTTATTCTTGAGGTTATTCATGCATTTACATTTGTTATCCACACACACACACACACACACACACACACACACATCTTGAGCCTAGGAAGCTCAGAAACTAAAATGTTTAATAAAACCTTAGTGGGGTCTGTCCCCATCCACATCCCTGTCCCCTTGCCCTCCTCTATGGCTTGGTAAATCCAACATTCATTAGATGTTTTATACCCCATTCCCCTTACAGACCACTGACCCACCCTAAAATCTGTTCCAGCTGTACACAGCAGATTCTGAGCACACAGGGACTAAAAAAGGAAAGCATCAGTTGAGTTCAACCCACCATATGTGAATATGTTAACCTGTTTGTATTAGGACTTCTCTATATGAGGCATAGAAGCCAGCACTTTACCAAGGCTTTGGATTCTTTGCTGAAGGATCCTGAACACAAGATGCATCCCCACACATCCAGGTTTTCCTCTCTGCCTTTTCCTATATTACATTCCACAACATAAGGTACTGAGTGGAACTGTGAAAATACACTAAGCTTCTGTAGCAAATAATGGTGCTATTTAAAATAAAAACAGCAGATTTTCCTTACTCTAAAATAAGCTTTGAAAATGTCTGGAAAACATGAAAGAACCCCTAGAGGATAACTACATTGTGAAAAGGCATGGCAAACTTCCATGAGTTAGGGATCACAAATGCACGCAGAATAACTTATATAGAGAAGCCCACAGTCCTACAATACGTGCATGATTTTAAACACCTGAAATGTGTTTGTTTGCATCCCATCCTTGTGTGGGCAGCTAACAGAAAAAGACAAAGTTATATCCTAGACAGGAATTAATAATGTTTCTCAGGCAGCGATTGAGAGTTTTTGGTGCTCCTGATTTTGGCCCATAACTCCTATCAGCCTAGGCCAGCATAACCAATAGGGAGGGATGAGGAGAAGCTGCAGGCTGAAACATCTGGGCAGCCACAATTTGCCCACCTTTGCTATGAAGTATAACATAAAAGTATGGACAATATTGCCCCAGTAAGGGTTTTATAATGGACCCACGTGGGAGCTAGGTCTAAAGGTCTCAAGTATGTGCATGCATTCATCATACCCAGGGCCTGCAAAAACTATACAGAGAACTGTCAGTACAATCCTGTACAGGTCTTCTGAGAAGCAGATCTGTCAGGTCACAGGTGTATTCCCAAGAACATAGAGGAGTGCAGACAGATTCTCACTCATCTGTGCAGCATATACAAGGCATTCTAGGATGTATAAGGAAGTCACCAAAGAGAGCCCTGAACCACGTCGTATTTTCTTCTCACTTGGACTACTATTTAAACTTCTTATTTTGAGCAGAGCATGGAAACTACTTTAAGGATATGCCCTGAGTGTGCCAGGCCTACCTAACAGAGACTCACAAAACAGGCAGATCTGGGAGATCACATCACCACCACCACCACCACCACCACCTCTGTTCCTGTGAAGAGAAATATAAGCCATTCTTTACAAACCTTTCGTGGTTTTATCATAAGCATACTCTTCTCCAGATCAAGCCCATGAAGTTGGAGTTGAGACTCAACAGCATACTGCAATCAAAAGATTCTGAGTGTTTCAAGTGTGCAGGCATAAACAGCAAAATAAGCATTAGTTTATCAGTTTATAGCAGTTAGAATCACCAAGAAATATGTGCACAGAGGGGAAGTATGTGCAGCCTTGGGGTGCTCTTCAATCCAGCTCTGTTCTTGGACCGGCAGTAGCATCTGTGGCCAGGAGTGTGCCAGATGCATCCCTTTCTGAGCAAGGTGACCATTGCAGTCCATGCCTTAATCATCTTGCATATAGATCAGCCTAGGTGGAGCTGTTCTTGAAAAATGTTTGGAAATTACAACTGGGTTGTGTAACACCACTCTCAAAACCTTTTCACTTAATTCTATTTATTTCCAAGCCCAATTCTTATTCATGTGGCCCTAAGCTTGGGGCAAATGTACCTGAAAGCCTGCTCCCTCATGTATGGATGGCCTAGAGTCTGTGATCACAAGCCAAAGGTTCTGTCAAAGTTCCTAGAGAACTGAGGACTCAGGGCAAGTCCTTCTGTGAAGCAGCATCCTGGTTACAAAACTTCCTCTTCAGGAAGCTTAGTTTGATCCCATTATTATTGGCCTTTAGGTGAGTGCTAAAAACTGTACTGCACAGCTTTTAGTGATTCATGCTGCACTTTCATTTTGGAAGGTTACTCTCTTTTCATTTTGCTTAACACATATTTTATCCATTTAATTTTAGTGTTTTGCAATGGGTTACTATTTATTGAATTATGCTATTAGGAATATATATAAATAGAATGAGAGAGAGAGAGAGAGAGAGAGAGAGAGAGAGAGAGAGAGAGAGAGAGGTGTTTTATGCCCTCCATGCCCTCCCATAGAGATATACAATTTAAATAACAGTATTTAATTGTTTTTATGGATTGGTTGCACAGTCATTGACTGAAGCAGCACACCAAAACCACATTCAATCAGGAAAGAAATGAGTTTCCAGACTTTATCACTTCTTCTTTTTCCTTTTTAAACAGAGAACCCTCTATATCTCAATGACAGAGTGTATGCTTTGAGTGCATGCAGAAGATTCTAGGTGTGATGCTTGGCAGTGCCAGTTAATATTAGGTAGCTGGTAATGTGAAAGGCCTGAGTGCTTGAGAAGCCATGAGAAATATTGGGTTGGAAAAACAAATACTTGGGCCTGATGCAGGACAGGTCTCTATGCTCCTGCTTTGCCCAGATTGGTCACCGCTTTGTTTCAGCACTTACAGAGACTATCTGGGATGGGTATTGATTAACCTTAATGTTGATACTGGCACTGTTGATGTTGGCTTTCCGAGGTGGGATGGAGGCAAGCTCCACCCCCTTATGCAATAGCCCCTCTTCTTGCACTCTAAGGTGCCACACTTAGGGAAGGGGTATATGGAAGTGACCTTGATTGACAGAGGAAGTGACCTCTGCATTTACTTCACCAACACAGGATGCCTGTAATCCTCTGAGTCTGAAGGATTGCAGGCATCTGATTGGCTTATGGCCTAACCCATATGGGCAAACAGAAAACGTTGCCTTGTTTGGGACCTGTCATTTTTATTTGATCCCACAGGATTACAGGATTACATGCTGCTCTCCAAATGTTTTGCTTTCGCACCATCTTCAGTACTGTTGCATGTGACTGTGACACCTGCAATTGTATGCTGCAAAGTATTCCAAATGGAACAGCCCTCATGCTGGAAAATCACATTTCCCCAGCAACAATATACTTCTGCTCAAGCCAAAAAACTGATAATGCTACCCAAAACCTCTGTCTTGCAGTCTAGAAAGGCTCAGAATTACACTCTATATGAATTGCATTTGGAAGGTTTTTTATTGTGCCTTAGTGATCAAACTTCTCATCAATTTCTAAGTGTTTACTGAGTTTGATAAAGTAGCAGTGAGTCACAAATCTGAAGATTAATTTGCTGAAATCCGTGCTGCATGGACTATTGTCTTGTTTTATAGCACACAAATGATGTTTGAATTAGTAATCCGAAGCACCATTGACAAGCATTTCCCTATCTGTCTGGGGATATAAAAGTGTTAATGTTGTAAGCTTTGTATTGATTTGGTTTCATAAAGTAAAACAGCAACAAGAATTAATAAAACATTTACAACTAGTTGTTGATTTAGGCCAACAGCTTCCTCAATGTCTTTAAAAGGACTAATCAATCAACATGGCCATTCAATCTTTCCTTCTGCAAGGTTTTATTTGAACAAAAAGAATAAAGGCACGATCACTAAAAAATGCCAAGCCCAGAACTGTGCAAACAGATTAGTATGTGTGTGTTTCTTTAATTATGTTGTTGATAGGATCAAGGTAATGAATAATCAGATAAAACTGCTAGTATGCCTTTGAAACATTCAACTTAGAACACAGGTATGAGACAATATAGATTCCTTACATGGTCAGAAGGAAAAGCTTTGGATTCCAGAAGGATTTTATAGCGATCTGATGTAGGTTTAAAGAATGTTAACTGTAAAAAATAAAACAGCAGATTTTGTAACTGACACATAGAAGGTTTAATCAAATGCCATACAATCTGGCCATCAATATTTTTGATAAGAAAGAACGCCGTTCCAGATATTGCTACATATCAAGTACTTTAATTAACATCTGTCTTCAAATTTTGCAATAGTAATTACTTCAGTGGGAAAATGTCTTTAAAATCCCACATGAATTCACATATAAAAGTCACTGTGGACTCAGTGACCCCCTTCAAACAAGTTGCTTCCAAGATGAGTAGGAACAAACATGAATTCTGGTTCCCATGTGAAATCCCACACTGAGATAAGCCAAAATGCTTTGTGACCCAGAACTCTGGCTTAGTATAGGGCAGGGGTCTCAAACTCGTGGCCCACGGGCCAATTGCCAGGACGGGCAGGGCACGGGGGAGGGGCCCTGTGGCCTTCAAAGCGCTGGTGGCACCCGGGCCTGCCGCGGGATGAGCGGCCCACCACCACCGCGGTGGTGGAATACTTGATGTGGCCCAGCCTCACCCAGACTCTACTTCCAGCAGCCCCCAGGTAAGTTGAGTTTGAGACCCCTGGTATAGGGCAAACAAGCTAGAGTTTGAATCTGTGGTGGAGACCCTGGGTTGTTTATCATGGAGAGAATGGGCATGGGCGGGGGTCAGCAACCTTTAACACTCAAAGAGCCATTTGGACCCATTTCCCACACAAAAGGAAACACCGGGAGCCGCAAAACCCTTTTGACATCTAAAATGAAGACAACACTGCATATATCATTTTTTACCTTAATGCTATGTATATCTTCATTATGATTTAGCTGCAGCTCTTCTTCAGTCACTAAAAACTGTTATTTTTAATCTTACATTATAAACTAGTAGGACTCATTTCATATATTTTGAATAGGAAAACAGCTTCCTGAAGAGTCAAAGTCAGTGCTAAAGGGCTGCATGCATTAAACAGCAAACCACATAAGTTCAGCAGCAGTAAAAGCAAATGAATCTACCCACGTATCATTAGACGTTTGGTTTTCTTCAGAATTGTTTCTTTTCTTCCATTTATCCATGGTTGGCCTATGGGGGCAGGGGGGGGGGGACTCAGTAAATCAGCAGGGGTCTGCAGATGGGTGGCTGTGCCGGAGACATAGGTGTGTTTAGTGACTGATTAGCAGATAAACAGTCAAGTGCTGTGAATTGTGACAGGTCCCAAGTGCAGCTTTAAACATTCAGATGAAGGAGATTACATTTGGACAAAGAGAATCCTTTCAGCAGGTTTTGTGTAACATGAGAGCCTGCAGGAAGCTTGTTTAGCAGAGCAATGCAGCGATTTTCTTAACTAGCTGATTTACTTGACTAGCTAGCGCTGCCTTCCTGAGTGGAGCTTCGAGCAGATCAGCGGCTGTGCCGGTGCGTGTTTTGAGCGACAGCAGAGGGGTTCAAGAGCCACGTGCGGCTCTGGAGCCGCAGGTTGCTGACACCTGGGCATGTGTGTGAAAATCAACATGTACAAACAGTCCCATGTGTCTTCTAAACAATCCATAGTCTGTTAACTGTGGTAGTCAACACAATATCCTTGTACTAAAGGGATGCATGCATTATCTTTGAAGATATAGGAGATAATTAAAATCTATTACATTACCGTATGAAAACAGTGAATGTTTGGAAAGAAGATACTCTAACCTCCAGTTTGTAAATGTAACATATGTAAAACCTTTTAAAAAGCTTAGGTCACATTCCAGTTCAACTGATGGATGAAAGTGTGTTTCTAGTTAAATTCCGGACTAATTCATTCAGTACTTTTTCCTTACTGCATGGAGACTTATGTGAAAACCCAAGGAGCAAGTAAGAGGGGTATGTTAGCAATTGCCTTACATGCCACCTTTGGGCAACTGACATGCCTAGTTCGTAAATAGTTTGTGCAAACTATTTTTAAGCTTATCTTTTCTAATTTATACTTCCTATACATGGGACCAGTTATGAAGACTTATTCTAAGCAAGATGTCTTACCAAAGTGCTTATGGGAAAAGATGGAATAATTGAGCTTGTAATAAATAACATATGGTTGGCATCTTGGGACAGTGGTCTCTCTTTTTGGTATCCATTTCTCATGCAGACCTTTACATTAATGTTTTTATTAATTAAAAATCAAAGCTCTGACTTTAGGATAATTAAGGGAAAATGCTACATACAAACAATGAGTGGATCTCTTAGGATCCCTTATATTCTTATGTCCTCATAAATTCAGGACTACAAAATAAAGGAAGCCTTGCACAGTGTACAATTATAATTAGCTTGTGGAATTCATGGCTTCAAAACATAGCAATGCTCACTAGCTTAGACAACTTTAAATAAGAATTAGACAAATTCATGGAGGATACATCTATTAACTGCTATTAGCCATGGGAACTAAAATGGAATCTTCATGTTGTGAGTTAATATAGTTCTGAATATCAGTTACTAGGAAACAAATAATACCTTATCAAGGCATCACGCTCTCTTGGAAAAAGAATTCTGTACTCTCTCCCTCTGTACACCATCATCTGATCTAGCAAGGCAATTCTTATATTCTTTATGACTTACCATTAGGAGATGTAGATTAACTGTCAAGCCGTTCATTAATGCTATCTCTTCTTTACGAGCCCCTGAAAAGCAATAACACAGATGTTTCCCTTTTCCTTTTGTCCTGTGCAAGGTCTGTTCCAATGATGTGCAATACCACATGACATTGCCTTCTAGTCAATGTCTCCCTAATGAATGAAAAGTAAATATATAGTTCATGTGTCACCATAGGCAATTTTATAAAAAGTTTCCCTGACTATTTCAGTACACCATTTCGAAGGGACAATATTATTTTTTACCAATCTGTTGTAGCAAATAAAGCAAAGAGTGGCATTTTCTTCCTTAAAATCCACTTGCATATATACTATAACCATTAACACTTTGGCGAAATTCAGCACCAGTGTACTTTTCCCATTAAATGCATCTCCAATATAAAGGCCTAAATTGTGTAAGGGCAAACATTCATAAATGCATTGATAGCCTAATGTGTGTCCGTAACAGCAGCAGCAGCAGCAAAAAAAGATTTGCTGAATAATTATTCAAGCCTTCATTACAGGAAGCAAAATATTGGTTCATAAGATAACTAGTAGGAAGCCAGGAATACAGTCTATCACATTCAGTCATGAACACTGGACCTTGTGGTAACCAATTATGTAATTAAATGCAACGGCTATCACAGGCACATCTAATGGATCTTTCCAATACACTAGCCATGTTGTACCTCTAATTCTTATTAGTTGATGTGAATGAATAAAATAAAAAAGGATGACTAAATTCAACTTATAAATGGAAGAACATAGTCTAAGAAAAAGTATTAAGAGTTTGGAGAAAAATACTAACACTAACCAAAAAGACATAGATTCTATGTCACATGAGCACCTTATAAAGCTTATAATTTTGGTTTGACTTTTGAAGACAGAACACAGCAGGAAGCACTTCAGGATTAATATTTAAGGGTGTGAAAATAGAAGCATCAGCCAATGATTTTATAGCTATAGGGCAAAGAGAAGTATTTATATGCAAATACTTTTTGTCTCCCACAATACAGGGGTTTATACTCTCTGCACCCACAAAGCCAAATTAAGAGATGTGAATCATACAAATACATTTTGCATGTATTAAACAGATAACAGGTTGCTGAGTGGTGACCTGCCTATTGCAGTCTCCCAAAGCTTTGAATAATTTTCTTCTACACTTCCAGTGGACTCTGCAAGGCAAAATGTTTGCTTAAATGTTACCCTGACATGAAGGTCCTCTGCTCTCACAGTATAATGTAAGGAAGGGTAGTCTCTCTCTTATCAGCTTTTCATTTCCCCTGCAGTTCTCCCTCCTTTCTTGTCTTCAAAGCTGAAGCAATCACCATGCAGCCTCCCTGGCGCCCACACTTCTCATCCCCCTGTCTTTCTTACTCTAATTTCTGGGACAGCCGTCAACAATAAACCAGTATCTTGCCATTGTGTTATATTGCTTCAATAAAGCTCCTTCCAGAAAAACTTAGATCTTGTCTCTGTTGGTCCCCAATTACCCTACAAAGGCACCCTACTGTCCAAACTTTGTGTTCCTGTGTATTCAGGTAAACCCGTTCATGTCTGGATCAGCTCTCTCAAAGAGCAGCAGTCCATTTTTTCAGGACAACAGCTCCAGGGTACAGTTGCAGTTCCCTCAGCACATCTGAGCTACATTTTCCAAAGTCATTGTTTTCTGAAAGGGCATATTTCCTGAACAAAGAAAAAAAAACCTTGCAGATGTATATGGAAATGCGTATCCCAAATAAGTGTGGTAGCAACTCCTACGTCCCCTTTTCCTATTCTACCAGGGGTCAAAAATGTTAACTCTTGAAATGTATATACTACAATCATCTCAACCTGGTGAAATGTAAGACCCATATTATGGTCCTTTTATAACCTGATTGATCCTTTTTCAAAGTATATTCAAAGTATAACTATAACTGCTTTTTCAGCTACAGTTCAAAAGCATTGAACAAAAATAAATGTTTAATCTGAAGTTCACCTTTAGATGCATGCCAATATTCTAGATTGAATATGACACCACATTTGTCATGTAAGCCTTGGTCCCTTGTAAATTATATAATTATTAAAAGCTTTTCTTTATTGGATTTCAGTGCCCACAAAACAAACCTTATCTATGCCCTAGGAAAATCGTTATTCTTCATAGCCTGCACTGCATTTCGGAAATGATGCTTCTGTGATCCAATTAATCTATTACAATATTCAAAGACAAGTATCCAGTAGACAAAATGAAGTTTTCTTTCTCTGTCTCATTACTCAGCAACACATATTCTGGGCAGCATAAATGTCCGTAAGTCCTTCCTGATAAATCTTCTTTATAATGGAAAAAAGCAGGGTTTATGTCCCTGCCACTGCTCCCACTGTAATTTTGGAAAAGAGTGTGTTGTGTCAGACGGTTAGTGCAACAACAGCCAAACTCTTGTCAGAAGTGTGTGTGTGAAGTAGAGTAAAAGGGTGGATATAAAAATATGTTTGGATATTTCAAACAGCTCTTAGCCTCCAGTCCCTGCAAATCAGTTCAGTATTCATTCTGTCTTCAGTACAGACCTGGCTGAGCACAAGATGAGCAACAGAGTTAATCTTATTCCCTGAGAAGCTGATACTACCCAGGTTGTAATGCATTAATAAAGTGCAGAAGGAAAAAGGAGAATTTCTATTCCCCTGTTACATTGTTCAGTGTTGGAACTAGGGGGCAGGGAGGTAACTGGAATCTAGGCCTCTGGTGACCTTGGCTCTGCATTTTGCAATGTATTTACTATTGCAGCATTTATTTAACAAGAAAATGTGTGCGCATTTAATAAGCAAGGTGTTATAGAGCCATAAACCTTTAAATGGCCAAAAGAAACACAATTTACTGCCTTGATTCTCTTCCAGAATAAATCCCACAAGGCAACCTGCACTTTTTGTTCTGCGGACCCAGCTCCAGCAGTTCCTCCTCCTCTATAAAGTATAAAACATTAACAAGAAAGCCACCTACAAAAAATAGTTTATTCTCTCAAGTCAAATTTACCAGGAGAACAGACTACTTTTTTAGCCCTCCACATAACAGTGCTACATATTACTGGAAACAATACATATTAATCTTAAATACTACCCTGAGCAAAGAGTATTGTAATCACATTTTATCTTATATTTGCCCTTGTTGCATTTCTCTTTTTACTTTAAAGGAAAAAGAGGTAGCTGATTCCCAGGTGAGGCTGCTACCATACGATCAGAATCTGGAATTTTTGAGAACGTAATTTGTTCCAGTTGAGGAAAAAGAGGATATTATATTAACATGAGGAATCAACAAAGTTAAATTTGCTACCATAAAATCGTAAGACTTGGATGCTAATGCCAAGCAACAAGTCACAACTCACTTTTACAGCCACTTGGGCTAGGAGGTGGAGGTCATGAGGGTTTGAACAGAATAGCAAACTCAGTAGCTTCTGGTCTGAAATAGTGCTATGAGATAATGCCTGAAGACAGGAAAACAGGTTTAAAATGTGCAGACCTTTATTCACAGTTTCAGCTGCGGAGTGTGTACAATATGGAACCTCATTCTAGAGAATACGAACAGGCTTCTACATAAAGATCTGCAATGCCAAGGGCAGCGAAAGGGCACCACTGAGCTGACACCCCGGACATGAGAAAGGGTGGATAAACGCTCCAATAAATTCTAAAAAAATCACTTGTATTAAAGGAGGGCACCTGAATTCTGTAGGTACAATGCAAAAAATTAGATACAAGTTTTATTTTTATTTTACTGTTCTCCTTTTATTTGAGAAATGTCAAATGGTTTAGCTGCATATGTGGGTCCCAGATATTAAAATAACTAGATTTTTTTTTCTAACCAGGGAAACAAGCTAAGTGTAAAACAGATTTATTGGCTGTCTAGCAGATTTTACATTAAATTTTCTCGTGTTGTATTCACAGCCAGTAATTGCTTTGTTTCTTGCTATGCTGTTCTCTCTTGTCTCCCTATCTTCTTGGTTACCATTGCTATTTTGGGGACCCTGCTTGTCTTTGGGAACAATAGCTTTACAAAGACTTTGCTGAAGACCAGAAGGCAATCCCGCAGCAGGGAATGGAGTATGGCACACTTGGCCACAGAGACTGGACAACTCTGTCTCTTGATGGAGCAAGCAGTCCAAAAGGAACTGGGAAAGGAAGCCTCTCAGTTCCAGAGGATTCTCTCCATTGCGTTCACATTCAGAGATCATGCTGGCCACACAGGAAGGAACACGAGAAGGGCATGCAAGAACACACAAGCCAGATCCAGCATTGCAGTGGCTGGAGGAACTCCTAGACATACGATGAAAATAATCACTGATGGCAGGAATGGAGAATCTCTTTCAGCCTGAGAATCAAATTCAATTTCGAAAAAGCTTTCAATGAGCCTCCTGTGGTGGGCAGCACCAAAACTAAAATGTGTGGAGTCACATATCTGCATATTTTACGTTAAAATACTTACCACCAGCCATGAAGCATTAGGAAAATCATTTCAGCCTTGCAAGATGCAAAAATCCACACAGAAGCTGAGAAATCACTAAATGATCAGTGGTCAGAGGAAAGGTATGGGGCCAATGGTACAGGACGTGGCTACCTGGGAGACAGATATGGCCCCATGTCTGAGGTTGTCAATCCTGACGTTGGTGTGAGGAAGATGCCAGATGGTCATTATGGCCAAGTCAAGGAAGGCAGAACTTCCCAGAGAGGCGCTACACTGACTGCTATGCGAACTACCCTTCTCTACTACTCATTCAGTAGTGTGCATTCCACTCAGGCCATTGTTCGGAGCCCAGACCCCAGCAGATCTTCAAAGGGTCATCTGCATACTGTGAGGGGTGGACTTGCCTACAAATATAATATACAGCGATTTCCTGCCTTATGTGGAGGGTCTGGATGAGTTAACTGACCAGCAAGTATAATATGACTGAATCTGTGAATAAATTATACACACACAAATAAACTACATATTGGAAAAATTGAAGCAGAGAGCCCAAAACAGGTTTGCATGGTGTTTTCTTTTTCATCTGTTGAACTATTGTTCTATCAGACATTCAGAAAGTTACCACATTTTATTCCCATTGAAGGTAAATCTCTTCTAACAAACACAGTGCAATGACTCCATGAATTTCCATTCCACAGCAGTAATGTAAGCTTAGCTGACAACCAGGCAAACAAAGTCATCCATTCCTAATTATCCATGGTATGCATTATATTATTTGGCAGATTAAAGCAAAAAAGAGCCCCAATATACAGTTGTCTACTTGTTCAGGCATTGCCATCTGGAAGTATGGATAAAAGCACATGTATCAGAGAAAAGGAACAGAAGCTCTTGTTTTGGAAAGGAATCCATACTTCATTCTATTCATCATTTTATCTGTATCAAGCTATATAAACAATGGTGCGAATATGAAATGTCTTAGTCCTGGTAGTCTTTTACCTGGTTCAGTTACAAGAACTGCATGAATAGCAATATGTGTGCAAGACAGATTTGTTGAAACATTGTCTTGAAGACAGGTTTCCATTTGCCAATTTTTGCCTTTGAATAGTTACAGAAATCATCATATATACTTTTATCAACAACAAAAATAACTGGACCCTGTCACACAAACCCAGATGTTAGAAGGTTTCTGTGCTATCCTTCCCCCAGCACAGTCAAGTTTTTCTGTATGCTTTGAAATGTCCTTCAAGGTACACTGAGGATACGGTTTTCATATCATTCATACGCCAATCATTTCTGACTGGGAATATACAATATAAACTTTACCCTTGATAGTGAGCACATCTCCAGGTGCTTGGTTTGTTTGTTTTTCGGACCTTGGGTAATACAAATGGGCAACTGTTACCATGATCTATCGAATATTGTTTGTGATGTACTTTGCAGTTTAACTATTCACATTCCCTGGCCTTCCTTGTAAATTATTTAGAAAATCCGACAGTTAATAGTAAATTTCAAGAAATTCTGTTCTATTAAGATTTGTAAACATTTGGCTCCCTTAATAGTAATTAGCCATTATCATGAAACAGCAGTCATTGCTTTGTAAACTAAAGGAATAGTAATGTGCTCATTGTGATATGAAAGACATTTGCAGACTTGCCAAGTTTCTTCTGGTATAATGCTCTAGACCAAGTATTTTACGGCAATTCCAGAGCCCAGCACTGTTCTTGATATATAGTTTCTTGATATATTTTTGGTCATATATTACTGTCAGCATTAGATATTCAGATTTAAAATACAATGTTACATCTAATACTTTTTAGGAAGCAATTGTGGTGGCGAGAGGAGAGAGGTCCAGGACCTTTGAAAGATTTTTTTTTAAGGCTACAAGTGATTTGTCTTCTCTTACCCACAATATCAGCCATAAGCTCCACGATGCATTCATCTCCTAAAGCCCAAGGTCGCTTACCATTGAAATGACCATGAACGCCCCTGAAAAAGAACAGATGGCAATCCATATCCAAATCTCTTTGGCATGGTGGTAACAGTGAGAACACAGTAGTGATTGTGATGTGCAGAGAAGATAAACGAAATTGTGTTAGTGGACTGGGTGCAGTCACAGCAAACAAGCAATACATCTACCATTATCTAGTATAGTGTGGGATAGCATTTGGACAAAATCATGTCAACAAGCTAGGACAGAGCATAATAAGATACTTTCTACTTGGCTAGAACAAAAAAACAAACTAACAAACAAATTGCTGCAGTATTCAAAAAGCAGATAAGGAGAACTTATCTCTTTATTTTGTCCAAAAAGAAAAAAAAAAAAAAGAATGCAGCCTAACATCTAATACTCAGTTAGCTTCATTTCTGCTTATTTCTCCTCTTGCTCTGATTCAACTGGGCCAGCTAGAGTCTGAATGCAAAAGGAGACAGTCATGGTTTTGACTTCAAACTTACTTGGCTGTCCATGTTGCCCCCAGGATGTAATGAGAGACCTCTGGCTATCAGCCGGTATTGATCTGTCATGCCCAGAGACAGATCTTCATATTTAATGGTGAATTTGGATGGTCAAATGGAAAAAAAGAATGGTGGTTTTAATTGGGTTCAAAAACAAGGTAGTGATCTCTGTACATGAAGAATTTGCTAGGCACTAGAAAATAATTTTGTACAGTAAAATAAAAATACATTAACTTTTAACAAGCAATCCTATGATCCCTTGGAGACTGACCTGGACCCACAGTGTTTTTCAGATTCTTCTCCCCACCCAATCCCAAGACTGTGGACAGCCCTAGGAGAGCAGGGGACCGCAACCTCACAAACCTAGGCATGCTTTTACAGAAGTAGATCCCTCTGTATTCAGCTGTGTGTTACTCCTAGGAACCCAAAAGACAACTTGAAAAGGTGAAATTTAAAAAGCAACCAATAATGTAGTTTCATAAATTGTATCAGTCATTCAGACAAGCCTTTAGATCAAGCTGCAGTAAGATTCATCTTGGAGATAAATGTTTGTTGAGATCTCTGGAGGCATATTTATTAATATTGACCACAGAAGAAAGCCCATACATCATACAGGGCTGAAATGCACTGGGCTACTTCAAGGACTAAAACTATTTTTCCAGCATCCAGAGAGTTTCTATCTTTATTTCACTGCAATATGTTTACAACATTTTAATATATTATTTCTCTAAAGCTAAGACACACAATTAACACACATGGTGATACATGCTCTGGTCCCAGTTGGATTTCGGTAAAGCTGGGCTTTCCAACACTGGGCTCAATGGCTCCAATATGCCAATGTACACCTTCCTTTGCACCTGCTAGACTTAAAAGTTATTTTGTTAACATTAAAAATATGAACACAAGCATGCTGCAATGTGGAGTGCTGTTCTCCAGTGCCATCATTTTTGGGATTCAGTTGCGGAGCTCAGCCCCCACATCTGCCTTTATTTGGGAAAGTTGCTTTCCTTTTATCTCACCAATATGCCTTCTTGGAAATGAGTTTTTTTATTAATTACCAGCTATGCAATTATTTTGATAGCACCCATGACACTTCCTTCAAAATTCCAAATATGTCCATTGATCCAGTAAGGCATGGTTTTATAAACACAGATCCCTTGCTCTTGCAGAAGACCTGCACGTTTCAATATGGATGCTAGAATGTCAACTGGTGTAGTCAAGTTTGCCCACTTTATCTTAAAAGAAACTTAAAAGAACAGCCCCAGTTGCTTATTCTTTTTCAGGCTCAACTGAAAATGCTGGAAGCTAACTTACAACTTCCTTACCTTACTCTATGCTTTTAGTTTGCTTCTCATGTTATGGTTAATGTTATAGTTTAATTAGATATTATAATATATTTGTAGCTCACCATCACAGAATCTATTCAACAAAGACTGGTCTACAAGTCTTTTAAACAAGTCCTGGAAATGGTCTCCAAATGACATAAAGTTATAATTATAAATTAATAAATTAATTTGTTAAGACATAAAATACTTCAAAACTATGCAGTAGAAATATGCCATTTTAAGCAATGTTCAGGAAAGGGATTAACCACGACTTTTGCTTATATAAGATTATGAAGTTTCAAAATGAAATCAGTCTGTATTTAAGAATTGCACAGTGCAACCCTACTTCCAGTTAAAGTGCCTGATGCTTAGGCATCTGTAATTTTGTGCAAGATTCAGCACTGATCAGGATTATCAAAATGTAGAAGTCAACTCAGGACATGGTCAAAATGGATTAGAAGCAATGTCAAGAGAAAAGGGGGGGCATGGCTCTCTGGCAGCAAAGCAGAACTGCCCTGTTCCCTGACAGCCTGTATTTAGTACCTAAACATGACTCAAGCCAACACATCGAAGCAATAATATTTGTAGAAACTAAAGTGAAGAACCAAAAGCAACAGGAACAAAACTGAGGTGTTGATTTATCAGAATCATCTGCTAAACGTGGAAGAGACAGCATCAGGTAAGGTGAAGAGAGTGAGATGAAGGAAAATGAAATTGGCCAACAAACTTGACAAAGATATAAAAAGCTTTTTGAACATTTAAGGAAAGACTGGAAAACAGATTTGAAAATAGCTCTAACACCTGCAAAAGAGACATTGGCCAAAATGAGCATAAATACTAAAGAAACAGAAAAATAGCAAGTGGAGGCTTGGATTTGGTTTGGCTCTAAAAGGCTAAGGTTTTTGAGATGAAGAAGGCATAAATGACTTAAGAGAAAGGTTGATGGAAAAAGAAAATCATGATCAGTGTCTCAGTGTCTGTCTGAGAGGTTTCATAGAGGCAGAAGAGATGGAAGATTTAAAAGATAAAATGGTGAAATGGATTCAAAATCACATCAGGAGACTGAGAAGAATTCATAACATGGGTCCTAAACAAATACATGGGGCCCATTGGAGAGGTGTTATTACAAGGATTGCTTAATACACAATGAGATTGACGACTTTCTGTGCACTGAGTGATGCAGAAGACCCGCAGTCTAAAAAGGAGAATGTGGAAGTTTTCTAGGACTTTTGTCAATTAAAAATATCAGTAGACAACAGAAGTATATAGAGAAGCTCTTAGAAAGCAGGCATTACATGGGGATTTCTCTTTAAATGGATTGCCTGACTTGAATGCAAAATAATGATAACTACTGCAGAGCAAATGCAAGATTTTTGCAAAGAGTTGAAGAGTTGTGTATGTGAGACAGATCCAAAGAAGATACAAGATAAAGAGAAGCCTCAAGAGATGAGAAGGTAACTGCAAATGAAAAAAGCAGAAGGGTGAAAATAATAGTGTAGGCACAGTGAATTTGATTCTTTAACTGTTCTGCATCCTTCAAGGATGCTGTGGTGTTGTATCTCTAACAGGAAGGGGATAGATAATTACACTTGGTTCTACAAGTGTTGCCACAAACTCTGTATAATACAACCCTTATTCTATCCAGTAAACAATGAAAACAGCAATACAGTTTCATTAGGAAGGTTTTTTTTGGGGGGGGGGCATGTTAACACTATTCAAACACTTTAGTACGTCATGCCAGAATGCTTCGATTATCAGACAGAAGATCCAGATATGTTCAAGTACCTTTAAGCTGCAGTTTCTCCAGAATCATATGCAATGTTGTGGGAAAGAAGTTCTATCTATGAACTGTTTTAATAGTTTTAAGGCACTGTTTTCTAGTCAGTACAGACATATAGCAGTGTGAGGACCATATTCTTGCCCTTGACTCTTGTCCAATACTAAAAGTTTGGTTGGTTTCACAAGTCATCTTGGTTCCCATATTACTACCTTATCACTACCATATTTTTCTTCAGTTTTACAGATGACTAAAACATATGCTTTTTTATTTAACCAGATTCTTCAAGACAATGATAATCGATTCTTCTAAGTGCTCTTAGGATACAGTAAAGGTTGTATTGTAAAGAGAAAGTGGCAGCGCTTGTAGAATCAAGATTTCCATTGCTGGGAAAATACAAAGGACACTAATTGAGTAAATACTTCAGTAGAATGTAAGGAATAGCACTGGTGAAGAGATAAAGAAAATTTTGTCTTGGTATCCACTTTTAACATATTCTCAGAAAAGAATGGTGAATATCAACTCCCAATTAATCAGCTTGATTTCTGGAGCAACAGATTCTAATCTGGCATATAAATAGACAAATTAGTTACAGATATAACATTCTAATTGTATTATTTAAAGAGGCATGAATAAGGTTGTACATGTGACTGTATTTAACACATTCTTACAATCAGTGCTTTTTTTGTAAGAAAAAGATGCCATGAAATTATTTACCTTTCACATGTAGTCAATCACTGTACACACACGTCAGTTGTGTAATGAAACATAATGGTTGCCACCCACAGTAAGCACTCAGCACGCGACCACACGACCAATCACAAGCCGAGCAGCACCATCACAACCAGCATGGACAAAGTATGCATGCATCGGATTCGACACACAAGCAGTCCGCATGCACCGTTTTAAAGATTTTGCCGATGACCTGCTATGTTTGACAGGGTGATTCAAATCCACGTGGCCCAAATATCAAATTTTCAAAAGTTAAACTTGGAAAATCTGTTGAAAAAAGGTGCCGGAACTCTGTTCCGGTGCGTTCTATGACAAAAAAAAGCACTGCTTACAATAGAGTATTAAAACATTTAAATCAGAGAGACAGAAACAACAACCTACAACCGACATGAACATACACCTCACAGCTTTCTAGCTGCCACAAATGGAGGAGGTACATTATCTGTTTTGGCATGATGGCAGCCCAATGCAGTCTACTTTGGAAGGCAATCCAGTAAAGAAAATTCCAAAACTGACCAGGGAAAGGAAATTCATTTAAGCAGAAAAATACAAAATGTAATGCAAGTCAACAAAGAGGCTGATAGTATAAGGAAAGCTTAGGGAGGCCAAATCAATCTTCCTTGGCTGACAGTTAATCCTATTCCAGGATATTTATGTAGAGTAAATCACAAAACAGTTTCCAAAACAAAACTTTTGGA